GAGGCCGCAGGCGGCCAGAAAGTACTCATCATAGAGCCACTTGAATTTGGGGACGCAGTGCAAGGGCACCTACTCTCATTCCCCCGTAGTAGAGTTGGCCCTAATCTCTACTTTGAAAAGTCCTCGGTCCAGGATCTCTTCCCTGGCCTTGAGGGGAACAAGCGGCATGCTACGACCGCCTGCTAGAAGAGGTGGATCTCTGTTCCACCTGTTGTAGCGCTTGTTCATCAGCTTGTTAGGGCTGGCAATGACGAGGAAGGTGTTTCTCCAATCCTTCCATTTATTCTCTTTGCCCGTCGTCATCAGATAGCCTTTGTGGCTCGTTATTTGAAACCAGTCGGTACCGCTTGCTTTGGGGGTCCGGTTGAGATAGTTCATATGGGTGAACGCCTCAAAAATCGGCTCCACCCCATGCATTTCACATCCGGCTACATAGCCAAGGATGTTGAACCAGGAATTCGGGGCTAACTGCCATAGCCCCACCTCGTATCCATCGAGGATTTGTTGAACGGCCGGATGCAAGGGAAATCGCAGATCAGCCTTAATGGCCGCCTCGTAGCAGCCAAAGCAAGCGTCCCCGCAGCTAGCGCCCGCAGGCCAGACGACTGCGTCCGGCACAAAAAACTTGGAAATCAGGACCCATCACATGGTCCGATAGAAAAGATTCTATTCGTTTCTTCATGGCCTTGATGCGGTCCTTTTGAACGTGGCAATAGTAAGGGGTATTTTGTTCCCTATGAGAGGCCGATGGTTCCGACCAGTCGTCCCCCTTATCAGCCGCATGAGAAAGTCTCGCCTCATGCAAGCGAGAATGCCTTTCCTCTAAATTTATAGAGAGGTGGCTTGAAGAGCCAGAGTCAGACTCGCTATCAAAAGAGTCCGACTCCTCCCCTCTCCCTGAGGGGGCCGACCCCTCTTCTTCTTTAGGGGCTGTCTTCTGATTGGCCAGGTGAACAAAGAAGTGGGAAGGGGCTACCTTAGCTCCCTCCTCGGAGCTCTCGGAAGAAGGGCCGCCTTGGGTCCCTACGGTATCAAGCGGCTGGTCCTACAGCTCGCTAATCTGAACCCGAAAAGAGGAGCCATCAGAGTTTTCAATCCTCTTTGTCTTTTTTGTTCTTGCCATACTGTCCTGCGTAGATACAAAGACAATTGGATTCCGGGACTTGCGCAAAGTTTGAAGTACCGCAGGGCAGTCGACACCTCTAGTCCTAGACTCAGCCGTCCCCGGTGACCGGCTGATTGCTAACCTAAGCCGTGTCGGATGCTTTTGAGGCCTCATTTTCAAAAAGAAAGTAAATAAAACACAAGAGAGCAGATGGTTACCTGAGTAATGAGTTCTGGAAAGAAGGAAAGAGCAGTCGTCCAACGAAAGCAATCGGCCTGTCAGAAGTAATCGACAGGTCAAAAGTTGCAAAGTGTCAGAGCTCAAGTTTAGGGGGTCCGAGAGTTCTCTTGAAAAGTTTGCAAATGTGAACAAAAGACTTGGTCAACATGCCCTTATATAAGGCAAAAGGAGAATGCGAAGGGTCGCTTCCAAATTCAAAAAATGAGCGGGGAAAATGCTCGGCCCGTCATAGGGCGACACTTGTAGCAGGTTGTCGCCTGTTACAGGCCGACACCTATCACAGGTGACATGTGAACAGTCACGCGCCACCTGTGAGGGGCAAATGATTAGGGGATTTTTCCCTACCAATCATCATCTAACAAGTGGACCAATCAGGCCCTACCATGTGTCCGCCACATGGGCCAATAGGAGCCTGCCATGTGTCAGACGTTGATCTGTCCACCATGGACCAATTGTGTCACGCCACGTGGCCTCCATACGCCAAGCAGGTCAAACGGCCACCTAGGCCCAATTTCCAAGGGAAGCCCAGTCAACCCTAGGTTAACCTAAACCTAGTATTTGACATGTTTCCCAAGGTTATAAATACTCTAATGAATCCTCATTAAAGGGGGATTCAGCAATTAATTTTTCTCACCTAGAGAACCTAAACTCACTGATCAATCCTCCCCTAGAGGAACCAGATCTCCTAACCTTTACTTTTCCGCACTTATTACTCCTCAAACAAGTACTAACTTGACCGTCGGAGGCGAAACTCCCACCACAAGGAGTCTCCATTGTTTTGCAGGTACAGGCGCAAGGAGACCAGTCCCGGAATTCTAACTCTCCCGTGGGACATAAAAAAAAACCCCGAAATAGGGGTGGTGGGGGTTCGAGATTGGGAGAAAGAGAGGAGGTGGAGGTGGGGGATCGAAGGTCGGCGCACCGGCGAAGGTGGAGCTGGGCGCTGGCGTTGGGGGGGTGAAGGAGAGGTGGTCGGTGGACGCCGGAAGAGGAGGGGCTGCTGGGGCTAGGTTGGTGGTGGCTGAATTTTGGGTTTTTTTTTTTGTTTTTTTTTTTTCGAAGGTTAACTATTTTAACCATAAAGGTTAGCCATAAACCTAAAAAAAGGTCACTATAGTCAATTATTCTAAACCTTGGTGCCACTGAAGAGAGTTGGAAAAAAGTTCGTCTTCCACATAGAAAAGATGAAACCTGGAGGCCACCATGTAGAATTTCCCAAATAAAAATGAACGCAAAGACTCGGATGAGTCAACTCAACTTGAAAAGTAATGTGTCCCCAGAAATAGATAAATGGGGTTGCAGCATTAAATTGATTTGATAAGTGAATATCAAGGTTAATTAGATTTGAGAAATTAAATTTGGATTTGGCAAAGCAGATTTTGTGAAGAGAGGATGAGTTGTGAGGGGGGAGAGAGCAATAGAGAAAAAGACAGGTTTGTGATGCGACGGTGGATCACCTTGTTTTATAAAATTTTATTTATGGAGTACTAACTAGAGGTGTCAAAATTGAATCGATTCGGAAAAAAATCATTCATTTTGAAATATAATCGATTCGATTTGATCTGAGAAAATCAGGATCCAAACCCAATCTGTAACCGACCTGAACTCAATCCGAATCCAAATTTGACTCAATCTAAACTTAAATCGACATCGATTTGATCCGACCTGAACTCAACCCGAAACCGATTTGATTCGAGTCCGGTTTGACCTGACCTAAACTTAACCTTATCCGAAATTGACTTAACAAATAACCGATTCAATCCAATCTATTTTGACCCGACTAATATTAACCTTACCCGATTTTAACCCGACTTGATTTTAACCCGACCATGATTTTAAACCCAACCTATTATTGACCTTTTTTTTTAACTTAAACATAATTATTTTGATCCATCTATATACAAGTTTTTTATTTATTTTATTCAAGTTCATATACTACTATATTTAATAATTATTAATAAGTTTACCTTTTATCCCGTCAAAAAAAAAAAAAAAGGTTACCTTTTATAAATAAATAGGAAGTCCTACAGAGTAACATGTTTACTTCAAATATGAAGTTTATAAAATTACATTAGCTTTATATACGTCTCATCTAAAATTTTGTAAACACAATTATAAAAACCTCAACATTTGACTCAAATCTTTTTCAAAATTTAATTATAGTTACTTGGCTCAATGATAAAAAAAAAAAAAAAAAAAAAATTACACAAGAACATTCAATGAGAATACTAATACATTATATTGTATTTCGTAATTAGAGTGAACTAAACTTTGTACTCAACTTGTTTTACCTGTTGTAGCAGGTTATCGGGAAGCATGGAATAGCCATTTTTTTTTTTCATACCTTGAAATCTGAGATAAATTACATTAAAAATGTACAATTTTAAGACTAAGCAATTAGAGTGAACTAAACTTTGTATTCAACTTGTTTTACCTGTTGTAGCAGGTTATGGGGAAATATTAATAGTCATTTTTTTCATACCTTGAAGTTTGAGATAAATTACAATAAAAATGTACAATTTTAAGACTAAGCAATTGTCATTTAAATTATCTAGCCATTACAACTAAATGAGTAAAGCGTTGAACATCACCTTAACTAAATTAACTTCAAAGAACCATTAGAAGCACATTTAGATATCAACATTTTTTTTAAGGATGAAGTATTAACTTATGTAATCTCTTCAAATGTAGGATTTAATTTGCTAGCTTGTACTTGTAGATGGGTATGAATAGATTAATTGGGCAGTCAACTTCAAAGAACCGTTCACATCACCTTTAATATAATGTCGGATTGTTTATTTTTTTTTTGGCTAAAATCGGTTATAACAAGTTAGAACAGGTTAAGTGGCCAGAATATTCTCTCCAGCAAATACTATCTCATAGTTTAATACCCAATTTGCAACTTTTGATAGTTGAGTACCCAATCTGCAACAACTAAGATAGTTTAGTACCTAGTTTTATGGTTCACTCTCGTAATTATTAGTCACATAATATGAAAAATGTAACATGAATGACTTGATATTGACCCAATGATGAGGTAAAACTCAATAAGTACTCCAGTTTTAAATGACTTTATTTGAATATTGAATTTAGTCAACCCGACCAAAATCAGTCAAACACAAAAGGATTTTATTTGGAAATGATCTAATATTGAATCAACCATATCTTAATTAAATTGTACTTGGCCGAACCGCAAAATCAACTAAAACGAAATTAGCCCGACTCGAAATTAACCCGGTCAAACCCTCTTTTAATCCGATCCAAATTTATCTGAATCGATTATGAATCGATTTGAAGATGACCCGACCTAAACTCGGCATATCTTGACCCGAAAGTGACCCGACCTGACCCGATCCAAGTTAAAAGGGTAATTTTGACCCGACCCGTCATGGGTCAACTCAAACTCCATACGGTTATCTGAATTGACACCTCTAATACTAATATTACAGTATTGAGTGTAAATAAATTGCTTCATCTATCTCGTAAAGATTGTTTCATCGTATTAAAAATATATATTAGAACTTTAATTATGAATTCTCATTAGTTAATGGAAAATAATACAATAACGTGTGATCTTATTGTAATTATTATTAAAAGTTTAAGTTAATGTTTTGAAGATTATTCTCATTAGTTAATTACGAAAAGTGATGGAGAAGTCTTAGAAGCCGAACGAAGTGTTAATAAATTTACGTAATAGAGATTTCATAGTTGTAGTCTTCTCATAAGAAAAATTGTTTTATTGACTTTCACGATACTTTCTTTGTTTTTTATTACTCCGTATTTGATTTCAATTATCCTTACAACATTTTGAGTTTTACTTTATTCGTACTCTTTTTTGTTTTTATGAAAAGATTTATACTCTATTTTTTTACGAGAACCCAGGGGAAATTATATTAAAACTTTGTCTGCAAAAACAGACACCAAAACTTTTTCATACTCTGCCAAGAAAATTACAAAATGACAACACACATCAGGATTTTATGGAGAGAAGGAATCATAGCAGAGGTTTACTCACAATCACCATCATATCAATAACATCTACCACGATGATGCCACTGCACCAATATCCCTGAGACGCAATTCTCTAGCAATCTGGGGAAAAAAACGCTGTTAGAAGTATTCTTACAAAGAACAGTAATTTTAACATCTAACTGGTTCTCTTCCCTTCACCAATGAAACAAAAGAAGATGATTGAATATTTTAAAATGATGCAGTTTTCATGTCTAACACTGTACTGTAACTAATTCTCTGAAGGAATTCTGTATTGCTAAAGGAAAACTGATTCTAGTATCCTTTCACCAATGAAACAAAAGAAGATGATTGAACTTTTTAAGGTATTTTGTAACACTATTGATGAAGGAAAACTGATTCTAGTTTAGTTATGCAACCATGAATAACATAATACTCCAAGAGCTTTGAAAATAGAAAAAGAAACATCTGGAGACAGAAAACTGTAGCGTAAAAATAAGGAGATATATGCAGCCCTTAAGCAAAAAGAAGAAAGAATTAAAAAAATATATAAACAAAAAAAAAAAAGTTAAAATAAGAAAGATAAAAAAAATATCAAACAAACACCAGTCGACATGTTTTTTCATAGATTCCTAAGTTAATACCAATACACGAAACATATTTAATGCTTACTGTAAGCCCTTAAGACTTAAAGTATTATATTGTTAACTAAATCAACAAAAGGAAAAGTCAGCTAATCACACACCATGATTAAGAGTCCCACACTAGATAAATATATTGATGTATAAGATACCATCATAAATTTAGAAATTTACATAGAGGGTGTTAGTAGCTTTTTGGAGCAAAAAGAGATGTTTAACCATTTCAGAAAGCTCTTTGGGGTGTTTGATTAAAATGCTTTTTGAAAGAGCTTGACCCAAAAAGCTCTTTTTTAAAAAGCTAATATGAAGAGATTTTGGAAAGAGCTTTTAGCTTTTTGGTTGTTTTATAATCTAAAACAACTAAGTACTACCAACTACTTGCCAAACACTTTTACACACAGCTAATTACAATCAGTTAGTCAAAACAATTAATAATTAATAGCAGGTCAAAACAGCTAAAAGCTACTCCCTCCGTTCCTAAAAGAGGGTTACGTTTGCCCCTTTTGACGTTCCCCTTTAATAGTTACGTTTCAATTATTTTTTAACATTAATATGATTAATTTTTTTACACATTACCTTCGTACATACATATTTTTCATGCAACTATCCCATTTATCAAAATATATACATACTCCCAATGTAACCATTCCTATTTACAAAAATATTTACCTACTCTCAATGCAAATATTCCTATTTTCAAAGTTAATTTAATGGCTTAATACTTGATGTGTGTGATATCTAATCATTATTTTCCACTATCTTATTTTCTTTATTAACTGTGTAAACCCACTAAACGTAACCTTCTTTTGGGTTTGGGGGGAGTAATTGCCAAACAGGGCCATAATCAATGAATGAAATTAGTAGTATAAATTTGGTTTTCATTTAATTTTGTTTAACCAAAAATGCAATATTTCCTGTTCAAGCACAAAGCACCCGCGAGTAAACTTATCAGCACAGAAGTAAATTGGGGTCATAGGATGTCAGAGTGTCACACACTTGTTTTGCAGCAGCAAGTTTGACATCAACAATAGCTTTCTCTTGTGAAGCCCCTTGACCAAACATCCCATGTCCTCCATTCACATCAATAGAGACTAAAGCTTCAGTTTGTTCGATTACCAAAGATTCTCCATTTGGAAGAGCGACCCTGCCAACAAGATGCAATCAGCACAATTTAAAGTACTTGCCTTACTAATTCAAAGATAACACAGAATGTTTTAAATTGTTTAAAAGGAAACCAATATTGTGAGAGCGCAATTTCTGATGCACGCACAAGTCAGAAATACATGGAATTTGACTATCTCCTAACATTTGTAAGTATGAAGCTTCTTCAGAGTTGGCACATACCCCGGCATTTGTGTGAGGCCATCAAAGTAAGGAGATAGACCGTCGAGCATTGTGAGAACCTCTATCCTCCATTTTGTCCTCTTTTTCCCCCAAGTAAAGACAATTACCAAGTGAAAACAATGGGGCAAACCAATGAAGTGATTATCATTTACCACAACTTATTTTGCTTGACAGGCCTAATGATATTCTTAAATGTAATTTCAGCCGCGAACAATTAGTTGTGCAAATTACTGTCAAAACCTTAATTATCTAGAGTGGGACAGAAGAAAAACAAATATGAACAAGGTATGAACAAATCAAATGTGCCAAAAAATCAAGAAAATGACAAACACAGATTACGTGGATATCCTCTCCCTGGGCAAAAGAGAGAAAAACCACCAATTTATTAGAGTTATAATCAATTAGTTAATTGAGCAATGTGTCACGTGCTGACTAATTCCCCTAGTCTTATGCACGCTAGCCTACTAACTTCCCTCCCTCGGATGCTAGTCAAGGCTTAACCCCGAAACGCTTCAAGCAAGAATGTGCAACGAAAGCTAAGGAATGTTGAGAACACAAGAGGAAATATTTTGAATGCTTTGATAGCTTGAGAGAGAGTGTTTACAAGTATTTTCTGAGGTGCCTCCAAATGAAGGCCAAGTCCCCTATTTATAGTGTTCTAAGCATGGCCTAGAACCTTCCCTCTATATACAAGGCTCTAGAATTATCTACTCAACTCTAGATTTACAGATGATTCAAGGATGTCCTAGGAGGTTCTAGAAGCTTCCGGATGCATCTCGAGTCTCCTTGAGTATTCTGGAACCTTCCGGACTTCTCCTTCAAAATCTAACACCACCATGGTGTTCATTGGGCCTAAATATGGTGGACCCCCAAATTTGGGCTCAATCGGACTTCATTTGGGTCCCCAAATAGCCCATTATTGTGTTACTGTCACTTGGGTGTTCACTAGGGTGACAGCACAGTAGCAATATAAAGCTCTATAGGGGGAGGGTGTGTCTGGCCTAGCCAGTGTGCACCAAGGGCATTCCCCCTGGCCACGATTGTTGCCTCCCGTCCAATGGCCCTAGTGAGGGGTGGAATGTGTGGGTCGTGACATGCTCCCCCACCTAAGTCTTGACGCCCTCGTCAAGATCCTGACTCGAATGCCTCGATCTTGTCCACAAATTGCCATAAATCTTCTTCTTTTTCCCACGTGGCCTCGCTGTCCGGGAGACCCTTCCAACGGACAAAGTATTCGTTGTAGCTTGGCACACCTCGACGCCTTATGACTCTCTTTGCCTCGATGCTCTCAATGTCCCTTTCAAACGATGCTACCACGGCCGTAGGTGCCCGTTGTAATTTTCCCCTGGTCTGATCCTCTAGATCGGCATGGTAAGGCTTCAACATGCTAACATGGAACACCGGATGTATTTTCAGCTTGGGAGGTAGCTCAAGCTTATAGGAAACTTTCCCGACCTTCCTGATGATCGGGAATGGCCCTTCATACTTCCGCACTAGCCCCTTATGCACCTTGCGGAAGACTTTGAATTGGTGTGGCAAGAGCTTCACCATGACTAGGTCGCCTTCTTGAAATTCTAATGGGCGCCTGTTTTTGTCGGCCCACTTCTTCATCTTCTTAGCGGCCCTATTCAAGTAAGCCTTGGTGATGTCGAGCTGCTCGTGCCATCCCTTAGCTAATCTGTGGGCAGCGGGACTGCTACCCGTGTAGCCCGATACAACTGCCTGTGGAGTCAAGGGTTGTTGACCCATGACTATCTCAAAGGGGCTTTGCTGGGTTGCCTCGGACCGCTGCAGATTAAAGGAGAATTGGGCAATGTCTAGGAGTTTTGCCCAATCTCGTTGATTGGCACTCACAAAGTGCCTCAAATAGAGCTCCAGCAAAGCGTTCACTCGTTCTGTCTGCCCATCCGTCTGCGGGTGGAAGCTTGTGGAGAAATGTAGACCGGACCCTAGCAACTTAAAAAGCTTCGTCCAAAATTTGGCGGTGAACCTTGGATCACGGTCACTGACGATGCTCTTTGGCAAGCCCCAGTACTTGACCACATTCTTGAAGAATAACTTGGCGGCTTGCTCCCCTGTGCAATCCTTATGTGCCGGTATAAAGGTCCCATACTTGGAAAAGCGATCAACTACTACCATGATAGAGCCAAACCCCTCTGACTTGGGCAAGGCAGATATGAAATCCATTGAGACGCTTTCCCATGGTTTCTCTGGTATAGGCAAGGGCTCCAAGAGTCCTGCTGGCACACGTTGCTCCACCTTGTCTTGTTGGCACACAAGACAAGTCTTCACATAGGCCTCTATATCGTCCCGCATGTGAGGCCAGTAGTATACCTCCTCCAAGAGTGCCATTGTCCGCTGTATCCCAGGGTGACCAGCCCATAATGAATCATGACACTCCTTCATGATGTCCCGCCTAAGGTTGTCCCACTTAGGCACATAGGTGCGACGTCCGACGGTGTAGAGTATCCCATCCTCTATCCAGAAGCGTCGGGTCTTCCCCTCGTTAGCCAAGTCCATCAAACTCTTGGCCATAGAATCCTCCTTTAAACCGTCCTTGATTCGATCAAGGAGGGTGCTAGCTATGCTGCTCACGTTAGCAAAGATTGCCTTGCGGCTTAGAGCATCAGCAACTACATTTACCTTCCCTGGCTTGTACTCCATAGCGTAGTCAAAATCAGCTAGGAAGTCTTGCCATCGAGCTTGCTTGGGGCTTAGCTTCTTTTGATTTTGGAAGTAACTTGTTGCAACATTGTCGGTATAGATGGTGAACCGACTCCCAAGCAAATAATGTCTCCAGTCACGCAAGCAATGAATGATAGCTGTCATCTCCTTGTCATGCACTGGATATCTCCTCTCAGTGTCATTGAGCTTACGTGACTCATAGGCCACTGGATGCCCTTCTTGCATGAGAACTCCTCCGATAGCAAAATCTGAGGCATCAGTGTGTAGCTCGAATGGTTTTGAGTAGTCGGGCAGTGCTAATACGGGCTCTTTGGTGACGGCATCTTTCAAGTCATCAAAGGCCTCTTGACATTTGTCGCTCCAACACCATTGTGCCTTCTTCTTTAGCAAGTCAGTCAATGGCGCTGCCCGTGCTGAGTAGCTCATGATGAACCGCCTGTAGTAGTTGGCGAGCCCAAGGAAAGAACGTAGTTCCGACACGTTCTTGGGCTCCTCCCATTCCCTGATGGCTTGCACCTTGTCATACTCCATCATTATCTTTCCGGCTCTAATATGGTGTCCCAGGAATGACACCTCCTCCTGTCCGAACGAGCACTTCTCTTGCTTCACATAAAGCTCGTTCCCTCGTAAGACCTGGAACACCTGGTCACGCATGCCGTCTTCGCCTCGTCCCCTTCGGCGATGCGCACCTGCCAATACCCCGATCGTAGGTCCAGCTTGGAGAAGTACCGTGCTTTGCCGAGTCGATCGAACAAATCGGCGACTAACGGGATTGGATACTTGTTCTTGACAGTGATCTTGTTGAGAGCCCGATAGTCAATGCACATTCGCAAGCTCCCATCATGCTTGCGCTGAAATAGGACTGGTGCTCCAAATGGTGCCTTTGAGGGCCTAATGAACCCTGCTTCCAGCAGCTCCTTCAATTGCTTCCTTAATTCCTCGAGCTCGGGTGGGGCCATGCGGTATGGTGCCATGGCTGGAGGCTTGGTCCCTGGCTCCAGCTCAATCTCATGATCCACCTCCCTTCTAGGAGGTAGTCTCTTTGGTAACTCCGGAGGCATCACATCCTTATACTCTTCAAGGACTCCGGAGATTTCTGATGGAACCTCATTTCCATGGGGCTCCTCTTCCTCCACTAATGCAGCCAAGAAAGTCTCTTGTCCCTTTTTGATCCCCCTGGACACCTGGATTGCTGAGATTGTCTTGGCTTCAACTTCTTCTCGTGTGACAGGAACGGACCATGACCCTTGATCCCTTTTGATCATAATTGACCCGTCCGCTTCAAAAGAAACGGGCCTTACTGTGTCGATGAACTCAAGTCCCAGCACCAAAGAGAAGTCGTCCATATGCACGACTGTGAGATTTATGGTGCCACTCCATTGTCCCAGACAAATAGGCACCTTATGCGCCACACCAAGGATAGGAACGGGCGAGGTGTTGACCGTCTTGATCCTCCCCGGTTCCTTGGTGTACTTGATTCCCAACTTCATTGCTTCCTTCTCCGTAATGAAGTTGTGTGAGGCACCACAGTCCACGAGTGCCTTAGAAGCTCTCCCATTCACTAATGTATCAACAAACATAAGTGAGCCCTTCGGGCGAGGTAACGTGCTTACCTGGACCACTTTGGTGCTCTCCTCAGCTTTTGGTGTGGCCCGTACGCTACTAAAGAGGCGCAACGACCCCATTTGTGCATCGTCCCCCGACGATTCACCGCCCGAAGCTATGATGGCGCTGAGCTTCTGTCTCCCAGGGCAATCCCTTGCCCAGTGCGGCCCTCCGCACAAGTAACAGCCCCTGTTGTTGGGCTTGTCAGATGATGAAGAAGACGACGATGATCCCTTTGCCTTGTCCTTTTTCACCGTCTTGTTGCTATTGGTGCTGCTTCGATCAGTGGGCTTGGCTCCCCCACCTTTTCCCTTGCTGCCGTTGCTACGCCCTTCCTTCCTTGTGTCCCTGTAATCAACCAAGGACTCTGCAGCTGCGATGGCCTCAGCAAGTGTTTGAACGTTCCTCCTTTCTACCTCTTGTTGAGCCCATCGTTGCAACCCTCCAATAAAATATATAAGTTGTGCAGCCTCCGGCAAATTATCAATTTCGAGCACGAGGGTTGTAAATTGCTTGATGTACTCCTTGATGGTGCTGCTATGCTTGAGTTCACGCAGCTTCATCATGGAGACCTTGGCTGCGTCATGCGGGCGGAATTGCTTTTTGAAATCTTCCTTGAATTGGTCCCATGTTCGGATGGAACATGAACCATTCTTGATGTCTTGTTCACGCCTTCTCCACCACAGAATGGCGTCATCTCCGAGATACATAGTGACAGCATTAATCTTGGAGGCATCCTCCTCCAAGTGCACAGCCTCAAAGTATCGCTCCATGCTCCATAGGAAGTTGTCAATTTCCCGAGCATCCCTCTTTCCATGATACTTTGGAGGCTTGGGAATTTCCACCTTAGGACCGACTTGAATGGTGGCGCCCCCAGCCATCGTGGTCCTTTTTAGCGACGTGAGTTCCTCCTTGAGGAGCTCGTTCTCCTTCTTCAAAGCAAGGAGTTCCCCCGTGAACTCCTCACGCATTTTTGCCATCTCGCCCATCATCTTCTCAAAAGCCTGATCAGCGAGTGATTGAGCATCAAGGGATACCTCTTCTAGACGATCGTCTAGTTCCCCTAATTGCCCTTTGAGCGTAATAACTTCATTCTCGACCTTGCCGACAGAATCCGTCATGTCGCAAGCAGCAACTTCGGCTTTGGCCGATCTCTCATCAACTTTATTCACTCGCTTCTCAAGCTTTTGGACAGCTTGAATGAGAGCCTCAGGCGCATAGCCCTCGGTTATTTGTGAAGCACTAGCGTCCTTACCGTCCTTGCTCTTTGCCATTCTTCCTCCTTCGCTCACAACTTGCTAACAAAGCTCGACAGCACTATAGTCCCCCGCGACCGTAGCTGCTCTGATACCACGTTGTCACGTGCTGACTAATTCCCCTAGTCTTATGCACGCTAGCCTACTAACTTCCCTCCCTCGGATGCTAGTCAAGGCTTAACCCCGAAACGCTTCAAGCAAGAATGTGCAACGAAAGCTAAGGAATGTTGAGAACACAAGAGGAAATATTTTGAATGCTTTGATAGCTTGAGAGAGAGTGTTTACAAGTATTTTCTGAGGTGCCTCCAAATGAAGGCCAAGTCCCCTATTTATAGTGTTCTAAGCATGGCCTAGAACCTTCACTAACCTCCTCAAATGGAGGGTTCTAGATCTAATCCTTTCTAGAGTATTCTATACATTTCTTTAGTACATTCCCTCTATATACAAGGCTCTAGAATTATCTACTCAACTCTAGATTTACAGATGATTCAAGGATGTCCTAGGAGGTTCTAGAAGCTTCCGGATGCATCTCGAGTCTCCTTGAGTATTCTGGAACCTTCCGGACTTCTCCTTCAAAATCTAACACCACCATGGTGTTCATTGGGCCTAAATATGGTGGACCCCCAAATTTGGGCTCAATCGGACTTCATTTGGGTCCCCAAATAGCCCATTATTGTGTTACTGTCACTTGGGTGTTCACTAGGGTGACAGCACAGTAGCAATATAAAGCTCTATAGGGGGAGGGTGTGTCTGGCCTAGCCAGTGTGCACCAAGGGCATTCCCCCTGGCCACGATTGTTGCCTCCCGTCCAATGGCCCTAGTGAGGGGTGGAATGTGTGGGTCGTGACAAATGGCTCCCTAAAATGATCTTTCAACCAACTCACACAATCTCCCTAGATTGTGTATTACAAATCCCTCTCTCAACTGATCTTTCAAAGTCTTCATATTCCTTCACCGGATTTCAGGGTACTATAACCAACATAACTCACCCCCTTTATATTTTTCTACGAAGTTTACCCTTTCTCCAAGCAATGTATATTTTATACTCTTATCCTCAGTACTAGGAAGCATATGATTAATCCTAAATCAATAACAATTAAATAGGAATAAATATAATGAGAAAGAAAATATTTTGAAGTCTTCCATGGATAAGGAATTTCCACAATCAAGCCATAAAAGAGTTTTGCACGTGAGACTTGCCGTAGGCTCTTATTTCCTCAATCGCTATGGATTAAACTTTTTTTTTTGCTTTGTCACTGTTCCTCCCTGACGACCCACAATTTAGCCTGAATCCACCATGGGTCTCAGGTTTTGGGCTTGTAAACTAAAGGAAATAAGTTACACTGGCTCTTATTATATGGTAGTGCCAACACAGTTATTATTTACAGCTTTTCTATGTCAATTTTATTAGTTCTTTAGCTATACATGCTCAAGGAATTTTAATAGATAGGTACAGATATAGTTACGTACGACTTCCGTTACATATTATGTGTAACTTTTGCCATTTTTGTCCGCTATACATTATGTGCAACTTTTTAAAAAATTTCATTTTTAAATTTTTTTTAATGAAATTACTGAAGTATCCTTATTTTAAACATTTCAAATTCAATTAACTCTTTAAATCAGAACTCATTAATAAGTAATTAATCCAACTTAATTAATATAATAATTTATCCCTAATTTAATTCAAACCTCAAACTATTTTTGATTAACTTCACTAAATTCATCAACACCTCTCAACTTCCCTCAGATCTCATCTCCTCTTTCTTTGTTCATCTTTTCAGATCACCTTCGGCCACCATCGCCGGCCACGCCTCCGCCTCCACTGTCGCCAAGAGCCATGTCCTCGGCCCACTTGTTAATTTACCCCAACTACCGCCTACGCCTTAGCCACCAATGAGAGCTCTGTCCTCGGCCGACCATGTTAACCCCACTTTCCGCCTATGCCTCAGCCATTGTGAGAGCCACCCTCCACCATACCTTCTCGTCCGCTTAAACCCAAGTGAAGGCTGGCGTCAATCTCATTCAACCTACCACCGGTTTCAAGTTCCTCTTTCTTGATCTTTGTCTTAATTTTAATTATAAAAAAAAGGTGAAATTGTTTAGATCTGATGGGTTTCAAATTAGATGGGATGATTTCGCCGTTTCGGGGCACAGGCGGGTTGCTCTTGGTTGGGTTTCTCACGTACTTAGGGGTGCGTGGGTGTGGATTTCGGATGGCTGTGTATGTGGTGGGTGGGTGGGGTGGGTTTTGGGTGTTTATGGTTTACGATTAGTGGTGGTTTTCGGGTGTTTTAGATGGGGTAGAAGGGTGATAGAGCAGCGGTGGTTGGGGTCGAGTAGAGGGGTGGTGGGTTTCAAGTTGGCCAGTGGTGAGTTTCGGGTGGTTAGGTTGGGGCTGCAGTGGTGCGGGTACCAGTGGTTGGTGCTAATGAGAGTGGTGTTGGTGTTGGGGTGGTGGTGGCGGGGGTGTTGGTACTTGGTAGTGGACCTGGTGGTTGTTTATTAATGTCTCACTTTCTCTCTTAACTTAAATACATACACTTAACTTTGTTAAACAATAATTTGCATTTTTTTGTCTAGGAGTCCGTGCCATGTCCTAAAGTTGCAGATAACGTGTAACGGATGTAGTACAAATTTGGGACCCAACACAATATCACATACAAAATTTATTAGGAGCAAACAGTTTGACTTATAGGAATTTGTTGTTCATCACAACTAATGGACTTTTCTGAATCCTGATACAGTTCTTTTTTTATTTTTATTTTTAATATATATATTAAATTCTCTATCAATAACTCAAGCAATTTCCTATAACAACAAGAACACACAAATCAATCCATTACATAACAGAGCTATTAGCCTATTAGTATCAGAAATTCCAGACTTCCATAGTTGTCTGTGTATGAATTATTAATCAGAAAATAAAAAGATTAATTATACCTTCTTCCTTCAATCACTCATAAATTTTCTACTTACAGGAATTTCAACATCAACCACTCGTAGAATTATTCCATATATTGCTGCTCTCCTCCTATTCTATTTTTCTTAAAAATTAGACTATTTCCAACCCTTTTTCTTTATAACAATTTTTTTTTTTTTTTTGTTGTTGATATGTTTTCTCCATCCGTGAAAGTTATCTTCCCAAATTTTTGGGTTTTTTATCCTCATTCACGAATGAATTTTTTATTTTTTTTTTTCCAGTGGGAGGTGATTTCGATTCATATGGGCTTAGGTCTTGTCAACAACTCCTCGACTAGAACATTAATCTATATTGTAAAGGTCTCTACAAGGAAAGATGCAAAGATTTCAAAATTTCGCTGCTTGCATCAAACTTGAATTGGTGGAGTATAGTGTGCCGAGAATGCAAAAAAAAAAAATGTTAAATCATTATTTAACATTTATGTTCTTTTCTTTAAATATGTGGTTTATAGATCTATATTACTATTGTAGACGTCGTACGGCTAATTATTAATAATATTATTCTTCTCGTCAAACAACAACAACGAAATATCAACCACTCGTTTAGATGGGGAACATACAGAGAAATCGGTAGAGATGATCAGAATTTAATTTGGACTTCACCAAGACCCATCTGAATTTTGGTCATCATTCTCTCATTCCTCCTTTCTCTCTACTTCTCTCCTCCATAATTCCCAATAAAGGTTTTTATAATTCTATGACAAATTTCCTAATTTGTTGATGGCAATGCTCTAAAATTAATAGGACATAAACCAAGGGCATAAGCACATAACAATGGCAACAAGACCAATTCAAAATTCCCCTACTTGCAGTTTAACCCTAACAAGACAATACCAATAAAAGGGTAGTTCAGATTGAACCTACTAATATAAACATTCTAAAAAGCACACATGGAGGAGTAAGATCAAGTCCAACTATTAGATGTAAATAAACAAAAAAATTACAACATACCACACCTTTGGAAAATTGATTCTTGGCATCCTCACCTTTTATTAAGAATATTATTGATCTCCTCTTTAATATTGAATTCATCAAACAGAGGAACATTTTCCCTGGGTAACTCAACTCTATCACAGAGCTATGAAGCAATATCTTGCAAATAATTGGTCACTTGGAAAGAACATCATATAAGAACAAAGTCCGACAAATGACATCTTAACTTGTTTAGATCATCAAGATACATGAATAACATATCACAACAATGATGATCAAGAATTTATTTCTACCCTATATTAGGCAAATAAGTTGTTTCAGAACAGCTTAAAACATCTCTTCGAGGAAGTCAATAAGCCTAATTAATATTATGCATTCTGAAAGAACCAGTGTTCACAAACACGTATCAAGTTAAGATAAGATAAGATGAATGATTAATGATTGACCTAACCTCATATCAAGTTCAAATTCTATTGCCCAAAGAAAATAGAGAGACATCAACTAAATCTACTAAACTGCTATAACAACTACATGGTCTACATCCAGGTAGCATATACAATCGAATAAATATGCAAATCTTCTATATAACAGGGCTATCAAATTTTAAACTTTGAGCTTGTCCACCTACACCTTTGGATTGGGCCCACTGGGGTGTAATATAACCACAACAACTAAAACATATGTAAAGGGGCAACTAAATTAAATTCGAAGAGTGAGTTTCATACCTCATGGTATGTCCTTGGGGAGTCTACTACCATTCTCTTAACCTGAACAGAATAAAAAAGATAAGACAATAAGGCATGTAACATTTGACTAAATAACTGTTTGCAGCACACAAGTCCATTGAAATACTAGGAATTGGACTCCCAGAAAAGCATTTCAAAATGTCTATGAACGAACATAAAAGGTAAAATTATAGGGTATTAGAGGCAGCAAACCTTCTCATTAAAATAATCCTGGACAACAGATAGTGTCTGCCCCATTGCTTGGTGCAAAATAACAGGTACAACACCTTCAACACCTTCATCTGCTGCAAGTGTTGCAGATTTTGCATGTTCAACAATATTTCTCCATGTTGCAAGCAACCCTTCCAAGTCCTTTCGCAAAGAATGACCAGCAGCAACAGTTCGGATGGTCACAACAAAACCAGGGTGCTGCAAAGATTTTGCTATGACTTTCAAGCGTGTGCGTTCAACCCCAGAAATGTTCTTTGATACTCCAATACTCTTGCACCGGGTGATCAATACCTAACAGTGAAAGGAAAGAAGTTCCACAAATTTCAAAAAGAGCACAAAGATTTATGCATTTATCCACCTTAACCGCTTGATAATTGATAATTGAAAATGAAGATACGTTAACAAAAAGAAACCTTGGGTTTAAAATGTATCTTTTGCAGTTCTCACCCAGAATCCGCTCCTAAGCTTCGGATAAGCAGCAATGTCGGACCTTTTTTTACCCAACCCTTCTTTTACAACTTTCACAAGTATCTTAGTGCCTTTGCAAACATTAGCCCACATTTCTTCCGCACTATGGATGTCATTAGTGCTCCTATGTTTTTTCACCACAGAATGCTGGGAATCAGTTTGAATTTTTAGATGATTCCTATTCCCATCCAGCTGAAATTCAAAGTTCCCAAGATTTAAACCAGTTCCATTACTGTTAACCTGAATAAGATTTCCCGTTTAAACTTCATCGAAATCCATAGTATCTTCATTTACATGTCCCTCAAATTCTTCAACCTCCACATCATTATCAGTAAGTTCATCTTCTTCTTCCAAAAATGCTTGTTTAAAATGACTGATGTCTAAGTTCTTCTCAAGCACGGATGATGAAGGGCAAGTTACACCATTTTCCTTTGAAGTATCAAAGAGTGGAAACATAAAAGGTGAGGGTCTGGAGCAGTGGCGGAGCCAGGATTTGTAATCCGGGGGGACAATTTTTAGATGTTTAATAATCGACAATAATTATAAGAAAAAAGAAATTGATCACATAAATTGTTTAATATATATTTGAAATCGCTTATGAGATATGACAATTATTCTTATATGGTGAAAGAGGAGTTGTTAAAAAATTAATTGCATATTAAGAAATTTATTAACCAAATTTTTTTTTTATGCTGGTAAACCCCAATTTTAAGGTATGTAATCCTTAATAATCGATAAATATGATTTATCAAATGATAAGCATTTACACAAATTGATAGTAGATGTAAAGGGATTTGGGTTACATTTTAAAAAAAAAATAATAATAAATAAATAAACTTTCTTTGACTAAAAATAAAATTGGAAACTTAGTTCCAAACAAGCTATAAAAAAATAGAATTTAGGCACACATAATTAGAGAGATAAAAAAATACGGAGACATGTGTTCATTACAAATAGTTTAATAACACATTAGTAATCACTATCAACAAGGCGATACTTGATTAAACAGTTAAATGAGAGTAATTAGAGGTTTGAAGACTTATAATACTTTGTATATATAAATTACATACTATATAATGAAATTTAAAAACCAGTAAAAAAAAAATGGCAAAATCCAAAAACAAGAAAAAGAAGTTAAATAGGAGCACTTTGTATAAACTATAAAATGAAATAAAAATAAAGTCCAAAAATAGCAAAAAGAAACAAAAAAAATGATCGGGTAAAGAATCGAACCTAGGATCAAAGAAAAATACAAGCTTTACTCAAGCCCATCAACCACCAGACCAAATGTTGTCTTTGTTATATAAGGTATACATGTAAGGTATTTATTCTTATTTACAGCATTTATTTAAGCTAACATAAATTAAATTTTTTTTTGGAAAAATGGGGGGACAACCGTCCCCCCTTGTTCCTACATGGCTCCGCCCCTGGTCTGGAGCTCCCTATATTTACAAATGCACCACCCATATGAGGAACAAGTTTTGTAATTACCCCCAGGTAAACACCATCACGTTTCACATACTTTTGACAAGTTCTAAAAACAACTCAACTAGATTTCCATCTTCAAGTACAGCTATCCTTTGCATGGTACAGATAAAGTAGTTGACTAATATCTCAGTAGAAACTAAACCAACTGGTGGAAGCAGATTACTCTCTGTTCCAGAAAGCAGCTTTTTCTGAAATAATATGGTGTTGTTCCTGCAGTTCTTGAAGACATGCCTCATCTTGAGTAGGCTCCTCGATAATGGGAGTTTCAGCAACTAAGTTGACATTAGTTTCTGAAAAATCGAGCATAGGATATAGGAGCCAGGGATCCTCAACAGGATGGTCTCTCTCAGAGAAAGACTAGGTAGAACTGAAGTCACCATCAACTTGATGATACATTTTTTCACTTTCAATGAAGTACTCACCTCCATATATGAAATTATTAGACGATGACTGTGACGTAACATGATCATTTGGAAAGTTTTTCAAAGTTCCTTCTCAGTCAAAGGAATCAATATGAGCATTGAAGTCTTTTTCAGCATATTGAGAGGTAGCACATGGCTGCATCAACCAGGGCTCCTCCAAAGGTTGGTTCCTTTTAGTAAAGTTGGTCTCTTTATCATTCAGACTATCTGAATCTTCACTTCTAAAATAGTATCCATTGACCATTGGTAACTATAAGATCCTCTAAAAAGGGATTTTCTCGTATGGAATCACTGTCAAAGTATTCCACAATGTCTTCTTGATCTGTCTAAGCGCTGAAAGCATTAAGTTTTCAGAAGCTTACCTAAAGAAGAAATTTCATATGTCCAAATACAAACACGCCCATAATACCTTTAGAAAAAGCAGTTACTGAAGGCTGGACAGGAAGGTGTTGTTCCTGAATTAATGAACCATGTAAATGAGTGTTAGGCCACGTCTTGTATAATCTTGCCAAAGTCGCCCCATTAAGTCTTTCATGTACATTATTTGACAAAGGAAATCGAGGTTTCACCCTTGAGATTGCATCATAACAAGTCCATCTACCGTCTCTTATAAAACAATGGTAATGACAATTCACTGGACAAACCATCTGCTAAGATACATTGAAACAATAATTTGGTAAGGAATCTAAAATCTAATAAACTCTAAGACCATCACCTGAGCCAAGGCAGGAGGCACGGCCGCCTTCGGTCCAGGGAGAAAAATTCCAATTTCATAGCTCCATCCTAACGTTAACAAAATACATAAACAAAACCCTGCAACACATTAGCAACTAGATATGACTCAATTATCAAAGTATGCTCGAAAATTCCCTTTAAATTCTTCTCGCTTATAATTATGAATAGCATGTAGGAATTATGACTAATAGCAATTAATTATAGAGTAAACTTATCTGATTTAATGTCGTGGCGTGACATAGCATCACTGCCCTAAAGTTGAATTTGCCCCATACTTGTACACATGGACTCATAGCAATCGACCTCTAAGGTTACACGACTCTAACTCTCCGGTATACTACGAAGAGCTAGATTGAGAACACAATGAACAATGCCAAAACAAGAGACTATTTTGTGTAACATTTTTGGCGTAAAGAAGAGAAGTATATCCTTTTTTGTGTGTCCAAAAGAAGTGGAGGAGCTTCATTTATATAGTAGTTTCACTAAGTTCAAGTCAAAGGGAGGGAATTCATATTTCAAGGCAACCATGCATAAGAAATTAATCAAAACCCTTTAATTATGCATGTATACTAATTAGCTAGTCTTCCATCTATGTATTAAATGGCTAGTGAGGAGGAAATATGAGGATCAAAGTCAACTAATTGCTATAATCATGGTATTAATCAAGCAAATTTGAATTTTGATCTTTTGAAGCAAAATCAATGAACCTAGACTTGGAATTGCACTATGGGAATAAGTGAATAGCTCCAACATTCCTCCAAATGATTCAAAAGAGCAAAGTAAAGAGATATGAATTTGGGCAAAGGATACTCGGTTTTGCAAGTATCAATGTCTTGTAGACTTGAATTGATACCCAATACTTACAATTGTGTTCTACAATCATGTTGGGTGGACTTGGCCTTGAACCTTTCATGAGGTTAGTAAAAACACAGTTGCGTACTAAACCTTTCTCAAATCAAAGGTGTTCTCGTGAAATTAAAAGTACCCAACATTTGCCTGGATATTTCATGAATGCTCTAAAGTCCTACCCTTTGGAACCTCATAGGGGGTTGGCCGTAGCCCCCACATTCACATAGGTAAGTTCATCAAGTTTGTACTGTCACAAACCACCTTAAATAAGGCTATGAACTTATTAAGAGTTATTTAACTCATCCTTTCACACATAACAGTAATAAAAGTACTACATCTCTTTAATTTATAGGAATGGTCGTAGTACAATACATGAGCTCTTTTGTGACTTCGTTTGACCCATTGAATTTAGACATTTCTAAGATGGGTATCAATCACAATTCACTCCTCAACAGGCTCACTCTAGCACCGAAGGCCTTTATTGAGTGAATCTCTAATATTCCTCTTACATCACGTGATCACATTTTATTTTTTGATTAGTATCCATGCCTCTAGCATGTATACGTGTTTATTCCATTGTAAGCTACCTCAATTGTAACTTATAACTCACCAACAAATATAATAAATGGAGTTGGCTCCCCCCCCCCCCCCCACAATGGATACCTACTAATAAATTTTGCAATAAGAATATTGCATAACGCTTTGAGCCAAAACTTCTTAGTGGACTCATCATTATTGGTTACCTTGTAAACATTTTATACCTGCACGTTTAATCCTTATTTCATGGTACCATACAATGATCATTGGTGAGCTCTTTCACAATCTCCACCTGCACTATGATTATACATGACAATATTCTCGTTACATAAGAAACATTAAGTTAGAAGTAGATGATTCACAATCATAGTCAAACTAACAGATCATGAGAGTAATCATATAATAACTTCTCACACCATAGCTTTGGTGCTCAATTTGATTTATATAATAACCTTATTTACCTTGTATTATTTCTTACAAGGACACACGCATAGAGAAAGTTCCTCCATTTTCACTTTTATATCTAAGTTTTCATATTACTTTGCAATTTAAGTGTTCATTTGAACCACTATCAAACCACTAGAGGATAATAGTGCAAACACGACAAAATACAAACTTAGTTAATAATGAGAAACAATAAAGATAGTCAATCACCAACCTTTAATGAATCTACCATGCATATCAATTTCTTTACTTTCAACTGACTAATGAAAGTCAACATTACAGCCAATAGCTTTCTTATGATTAGACAAAACTAACTTTCACAAATATGATAGGTCACACTGACATAAGGACTTAGATTCATATTAACTTATTTTCTCCGGAAACTAGCACAAACAAAAGGACATGGTCTCTCCACATGATTTAGGATACTTATCCATCACTTCTTGAAGACGTCCCATAACCTCTTCTAATCCTTATACCTTTCTAATTAAGAAGGACAATTAGACTTAACTATTTTGAACTTCGACTTTACTTCTTTCTAGTTGATCTACTTACCAACTTCACAATTGAAAAGTCATGAACCAAATTAAATCATAAGAATCAGATTACAAATTATCATACTATTGCAATGATGAGAGACAATCTCAATGCGTCTCATAGAGCTCATAATTAATTTGAAGAATAACACAACTCAAGTCATTAAAAATCATGTAAAACACAATGCATTAAATAGCAATGACATATTTTGAAACCATGTTAGCATACTCAACCCAAATCCCACATTAGGTCTTTTAAATAGTTTAAAGGTTTATACTAGAAAAATTACATTCCTCATGAATAATTTGAATAAAAGATCACTTACTAAAGTAAGCTAAGCTAAGCAATATTAAATTCATCATTTTCAACAATCACAACATCGCATAGTCTAAGAAAATTAACTACTAAGCACCCAAGGAACATCTCACCTTAATAGGCGCTCCTACACAACAAGTATT